AGGTGGGGTTTTGTGGCACTTCTGTGGGCAAATCAGACAGAACAGACCTGTGACCTCAGAGGACACATCGTGATTGTACAGTTAAACATGGAAAACAGTACAAATCGCTTAAGGTATTTTCCCAGATACAATCATGAGAAAAAATAGAAGTGTTTCTTAAAGCAAGAATCCTTTTTCTTGGACTCCTGTTTTCATAAAAGCCATCCAACTACCTACACAATTTTTTAAGGTCTTCCCCTTGTAATGCCTCTGCTATGTCAGGGTTTTCTCCCGCCCTGAGAAAGAAAGGTCACCCGGTGACCATGGGCAGGGCACCATGCCCTGCGCACAGGCAACAAGAATGCTTGCCATCTTTATTTTACTACCGGTCCACCTTTGATAGAGGAAATGGAAAAAAGAATCTGTTCTGTATTGCTTTCCCTTTTCATCAGTTGGTTAGACCTTCCCCGCCCCCGTGCAGTGCTTGGGCAGCCTATCAGGGACCCTCCATCCATGCACGTTCCTGCCCCCTAGCAACGCGCGCTGAGTGAGATCTCCCCTCCTGGGAGCCAACCCCGACGTACCTGCACCAGCAATATTTGCCTGCAAGCCCAGGCACCCTAGGCTGGTGGTTCTCAGCCATGACTGTACATCAGAATGACCTTTAGGAGCTTTCAAAAGCACCAATGCCTAGATTTCACCCGTGAAGATGTGTAATTAGTCTGAGGTGCAGCGGGGCCTCACTGGTTTCAGAAGCTCCCCAGGGGATTTCACTGTGCAGTCAGGGCTGAGAACACCCTTCCTGGGACAGGTGGCTGGAAATGTGGACTTCATCACTGTTCTGAGTTACCAAGTTACCAAAACATGCTGACCATTATTAGGGTTCTGCAGGTGTTTTTAGTCTATTGGTAAATGCATATGAACTGTAAATATAAAAATAAAATCATTTGTATCAAAGTCAGATTAGTATATATAAGCCAGCAAAGTGCTATATTATTGCCTTTTTTTTTTACACTGACAGGATCATCTTGCGGCATATGGATCTGTGTGAGCAGTAAGTCATTCTTTCCCTCCGACATTGCTGCGGACTTGACGGAACCTGCTTCAGAGCAAGACGGAGCCGCATGCGCTTTTTACCTTTTCTCATTTTACAAATATAAAAAGTATTAGTCTCTTATTAGGACGATGACCTAGCTTAGCTCTGCAATGAGGTTGTGCCTTTTTGTAAGACAGACGGACTTCCCTTGCTTCCATTAAATCCCTTTGAACAAAGATTTCAGTTTTGAATTTTGATTCTATTGGTCGTTCTAACCTTTAGTAGAAAAATGAGTTTTCCTAAAAACATACCTTACAAAGCTCAGTGCTACATGGGAGGATAAGAGTCCTCAAAAAAGTTACAAAAATAGATTACCATTTAAAAATCCTATCTGAATGTGTCATAGTACAACAATGTATGCCCCTGACATGGCAGGTGTGGCTGGTAAGGAAGGCATGGGTTTCTCTTCAGTAAGGTTTTACAGCCCTAGGCAAGGAAATATAAACAGATCATTATGTTGTAATAAAAAGGTGCACTTATCAAAAGAAAGAAATGCAAAGTAGACGTTAAGGGCAATTTCACCAGCGGTCACTTGAGCGAGCACCTCATTCACTGCAGAAGAGACCAATTTTTCTAACTTCTTAGAAAATGCAAACTGTTTCAGGGCCCCATCAAGGCTCAGGTTTGGGTATTTGCCACTTACAGGATAAGCTGCTGGCTTGAAATAGTCACTAGTAGCCAAGTCTCAGGAATATTAAGGACTGCACGTTGTTCTGTCCGCCGCCTCCTTCTGGAAACTTTACCTGACCCAGGCTTCTCTATTCTGCCCGGACTGGGGGGGCATGCTACAGACACCTGCAGGTCACCTTAAGAGATGAGGGTTTCAACTCTGCTTGCCCACTAGGATCACATGGGGAGCCCCTGAGAGTCTGATTGTTATCGGTCTGTGGGGACCCTGCCCCTTCTTTTTAAGGCTGGCAGCCAGGATGAGAAGTGCAAGTCACCATAACCCAACAGGCTCACCTCTGCTTGCGTAACCCGAGGCCTGCTGAGTGCAACAGGTGAGGAGGATGCCATCAGCCGAGGGACAGGTCTCCCCCCAACCGCCCCACCCCATTGGCCTTTCCTTTTCACCAGTGGTTCCCAAAACTTTGGTGCTCTTCAGAATAACCTGTGGAAGTTCTGAAAAGCCCCTGGGCCCGCCCAGGCTGCACCTGAGGCAAATTAAATCAGAATCTTTGAGGTCAGACCTCGGGAGATCCCCGAGAGCAGCCAAGCTTGAGAACCAGTTCATTTATATCTGCAGTTTGGGGGCGGGGGTGTGGGCTAAAGCCCCAAATTAAGAACTTCCAACAAATATCTAAGACTTGTTATCATTTGGAATGCAATCTGATGCCCCCACAGTGCTCCTCGTTAAAATAAAATCAGTGACAACTGGGACTCAGCACATCTAGAATTTGGAAGATTCACCTTTTTTACTTCATGAGGTGACGGAATGTTACTCGTGGAGTATGACGGCAGGGACTCCTGAAGAGTTTATACGAGATGTGTGCCCACTCTAAGTGTTAGCTTCCAGCGCTTACTTTCCCCTGAACTGTTTCCAAAGGCCAGATCTGAGGTGGGGCCACGGGAAAAGCAGCCAGGAACTGACTGAGGAGGGAACAGGCTCTCTGGAGGGTCTTAGGACCAGTGTCAACAAGGAGGAATGGAAGAGATGGAGTGTACGCTTTGAACTCTGGCCAAGCTGGGCCATGAGATGGAAACACCGGTGCCCTGGGTGGCCCCTCTCCTCGTCTGCCCATAGTGATGGTGGGGGTCCCTGACTTGGGCTCTGCTGCCTCAGGCTCTGAAGCATCTCCAAGCCCCCTCTGCACCTCCCTGGACAGCCAGCCATGGTGAGGACATTGTGGGAAACACAGTTTTAAAATCCAGGGAATTTAGCAACTAGATTCTATGCAGGAAAACTGAAATACAAAGGAGAAAAAGCTTGAATAGTTTTTGCTGTTTTATTATGTTATAGTAAAATATTGCAAATTACAAAAATACTAGGATTTAACTGCTACAGTTGGACTGACATACAGTTGCTCTCCCTCACCAGTCACTTGCTTCTTGATGAATAAGTGGTAACAAAATGTGCATCAGTCTGTTTCCCAGGGCCAAATAAACTTCTGATGAAAATATTTATGTTCTGAGGTGAATAAATAATGAAAGTGGTTTACTGACAATGGCATAAAATTTTAAGAGTCTTAGAAATATTTAATCTTTTCACTAATCATTTTCAGATCCTGAGTGAGGATGCCACATTTTGGGCACTGGGGGGACGCTGCAAGCTAGATCCCAGGCTTAAAGGGAGAGCTTGTTAAGATGCCCGAATGCAGCTTTTCTCCCACTTTATTAGCAGTTCCTCCGGCGCATGCTTTCTTGGTCAAGGTTTCATGTGTTGGGAGCACACTTCCATTTCCCTCGTGGCTAAGACCCTAGTTGGTTTGGCCCAACTCTACCACTCCCTCCCTGATGAGCCTTCCAGGTCCCCCTAGGCAGGACCCACTCTTCTCTGCCCTGTGCGGTCCATGCTTGGCTGACCTGTCTTTGCCTAGCATCTGTCCTATTGTTTTAAGGTTTCTATTTATGAGTCAAGTCAATTCCCTTTGCTAAATTGTGGATTTCTTGGAATTGGGGATTATGTTTTATTTATTTTAATATCTTTAGAGCCTATGCTGGGCTGGCATAGGTGCTTAAGAGTATCTGAAAACATAGTGGAATTGAATTGAATAGAGTTTATATCTCCATCGGGACAAAGTCAATCTACTGGTAACAAAACTGGGGCCCTGCTCTGAGAACCGGTAAGTACTGTCACAACAAAAGGGAAATCTCATACGTGTGTGTGGCTGAACACATCCGTAGGCCGAAAATACTGTCTGAAACGTGTTTTCCTTGAAACACTGGATATGGACTAAGAGTGTTTAACACCTCTATACAAAGGACTGCCATGAACCGATCAGGTTGCGAGGACCCACGAGGTGGAAAAACACTTGGGTGTCCTAAATTAGCTGGATCCTCCAATGATAGGGAAATTGTCTTAAGAGGGAATTTTTTTTTTCTTCCGAAAAATTACCTGTAGATGTTGTTAAGGCATTATCATCGATTTCAAACTCCGATTTCATATTTACCACTTTAATTCCCCGACGCATAGTGTTTTTACTTTCCCCTGTAAAATGTGCCCCCAGGGGTGAGGGCTGTCAGTTTCTGCTTGGTGGCCCCAGAGCCTGGATCCTTTCATTCACAAAGGGCGAGGAGGGGCTTTGGGGGCAGCTTACCAGAGAGGGGGAAAAAAAGTACCCTTTGAGTAAAAAACTTCTAAAGTAAAATAAAAAGGAAACTGTCTCCCGTAAGTAGCCTAATTTGGTAGTAAGGGGCGGGGTGGGAGTTTTAGGAGCAGCTTCTTCTCCTTTCTGCAGTGTCTTGATATATGCCCAATCCCCAACCCCCAAAGGACTTGATGTATTTTCTCTGAGACTCAAATCTGGGAGCCATGTTCTTGTGTGAACTTTTGCATTATCGTTCCATCTTGATTAAAGGCTATTGGTCTGAATGCTGATCAAAGACGAGCTGGTCCAGGTTACGGTCTGATGTACCGTCTCCTCTTACCGACAGGGAAAGCATACTGAGTTTCAAAACAGTGGAATGGAAAATAAACAAGTAAGTCCAATACTTATAACTAGAAAACACTGGTCAACCGATGGAGAGTAAGTACCATGAAGAAATTTATATAAAAAGAAGTCTGAAGAAGAATTCTACCCCCTCCATTTCTTTTGCGCTCAGGAAGGGTTCAAAGTGGCTTATCCTCTTGTACCTGCTCTGATTTGCTACAGTACCAATCAGGCCTGCTTAGGACACAGAGTACTTCTAGTTTTTTTGTTTTTTTTTTTTTAATTGTCTTGCAGTGGAAGAATCTTGAAGCAGAGTCAGTGGAATCAAATGTTAGCTGGAAGACTCTGACCCTTGCTTCTTGGTCACAGTTGGGCCTGGATCAACTCCGTGCAGCAAGTGCTATGAGCAAGCTTCTTCCTCATTGGAAAAGCCCATGAGAAATAAAATCAATAATGACAATTAAAAACTCCCAGGGTCCCCAAGCAATAAAACTCCTTATGCAGTTTTGTTTTGTTTTGTATCAAATATACCTCATGGAAAGGTGAACTTCTGCCCAAAGAGACAATATTCTTGCTGCATGCCTTTTTGTGGAGGCCTCACAGTTTGAAGACAAAGGAATGTCCCAGCAACTTTCCAAAGTGCATCCGAGGAAGGGGCGCTTCCTGGGTGAAGGATGGGTCCATCAGAGCAAACATGGCCAAACCAGTCCACGGGTCCGAGAGTTAACATGGGCATGACTACCAGCACTAACGTAGCTGCCGTGGCTTGGTCCCAGGGGGGTGACACGTCTGACACTCTTACGTCCTATGCTATCCTCCATGGTCATGCTCCGATAAACTCACTGCTTGGTGGTGCTACCCTCAGGTAGTCTACATTTTCAGCTGCAGGGCCCTTAAAAATGCCATTTGACTTGGCTTCGGTGGGAAAGAAGTCCTGCTGGTAGTCAGGGTTGTCCAGGCTGATTTGGTGGTTGCCTTTCTGGGCCCAGAGGCTGGGGCCGTCGAGCACACTGTTGACGCAGGGAGGGTGGGTGTTGAGATACTCCGGGTTGTCCACTGCGTTGCTGTGGGGATTTTGGTAGTGAGGGTCTCTGCCAGGAGCTGGATTTAGAGGCTGATTGTGATAGACGGGGTTCTGGACAGAACCCGCAGGCCTTTTGGGAACGGACTGGTTTATGTATTCTGAAACGGAAAAGAAATCACAAGTGAGGTAATCAGCAAAGCCTTAACCCCAGCAGGATTTTCCATCTGTACATCTGAACCCTGTCGATATTCTTCCACAAGGCAACTGAGGGTAGGGGCGTCTGGCAAGACGACTACCTTGCTGTTGCTGCAATATAAACTACGTTCTTTTCTATAATTCTGAAAGCAGTGGGCACATTTACCTCTTGCCAGTTTAAAGTTCTCAAAAGGATAGACTGCCTTAAGATGTATGTGTGCACACAAGAACATCTGGGGATAAAGCTGAGATTAGGAAAATACATGTTTCATTGGCTAAGAATGGAGCCAGGATCGAATTTGTCACATGCATGCGTGCACACAGACACACTCATCCACACACACTCACACACTCACTGACACACACACACAATCATATGCACACACGCTTGCTCACACTCTCTCTCTCACACACACACACACACACACACGCTTGCACACACGTGCCCACGTCTTCGATGTTTGCTTCAAATTCTAGAAAATCTGCAAACTGATCCTAAAAACACACCTCCTGGCTGGACATGACTTGAGTTCAACACAAAGACCCGCACGCATGCTCAGCTGTTTTGTATTTCTCTGCCTCTTACTCCTTACTTCGTGTCTGCAAACTTGCCACAGTGTCCACTTCTGGATTGGCTCGAAGGAAGCAAGCAGCCTGGGCACCAGGGGATGGAGGCCAGCCCTGCTGGATGGGGAGGCCGAGGAGGGCGACCTTGTCCAGGGTAAGCCACTCACCAGGTGCTGGGAGGAAGGTGTCATCTATGTTGTCCTCGGTCAAGGTGCCAGTGGGGTCTGAGCTGTACCGTTGAAGGAAGCTGTCTTCTTTGAGGGGGCAGCTCTGAAGGGAGGAAATAAGGCAAGGTTACCCCAGTCAGTACTGCTCAGACTTCAAAGTGTATGAAGATCACCTGAGATTTTGTGAAACTGCAGATTCTGATTCAGTAGGGTCCAAGAAAGCGCCTGAGATTCTGCATTTCCCACAAGCCCCCGGGTGCTGCCCATGCTGGGGGCCCACAGACCACAGGGCGAGTGGTAAGGACCTGGTCAGGGCCGTGCAGCAGGGCTTTTGGCAATGACAGAAATGTTCTAGGATCTGTGCCCTTCAAGATGGTCACCAGTTTACCCTGGAGTAGACGCATGTGGCTATTGGCTTCCATACTGGTAAGTATAGGTCTAGATCGAGGCTTCGTACCAAGCATCAGCATCACCTGGAAGGCTGGCTCCAACACGGATGGCCGGGCTCTGCCCCTCGCGTTCCGACCTCCGTGGGTCTGGGTCGGCGGCTCGACCATTTGCATTTCTAACAAACTGCCAGGTGATGCTGTTGTAGGTCCACAAACCCCATTTTGAACAGCCCTGCAATCAGTGAGAGCTAACTGCTGGCCTTAGGGTAGGGGTCAGGGAAACCATATGGAGAAGGAAGGAAGGAAGGAAGGAAGGAAGGAAGGAAGGAAGGAAGGAAGGAAGGAAGGAAATTCAGGAAGGAAAATCAAGGTTAGTTGGGGTAAGATGGGCATCTTCTATGTGCGGTAGAGCCGTGATACGGAGCTGTTATTTAATTCGGGTTTATGAGGTGTTCATACGTACCCCATTTCTGTCAATGCAAGCCACGGTGGAATTGTTGCTGGTGGCACTCTGGAAAAGAATCGCAGTTGTTGAGGGTACGCGTGCATATTCTCACCCACGCCCACTGAACGCAGGAGGTGGGGTCTCATGGAGTGAATATAATTAAAGGCGCTTCACTTTGTCTTGACCCATTAGCTTTAGAAAAACTAGGTTAGTTCTGACCTAATTCTGGCCCCTAGTAGACCTAAAAAGGTTATGGTCCAGTTATTGCAATGCCATAAAAGATCCAACACACTTGACTGATTCATTCTGACTTTGGCTTGACCATTTGGTTAAAATCGACCTCTCTGTCTCTACGTGAGTTCTACTAGACGGGTATCACTGTCTCCGAACAATTCATTCAAAGCAGCAGACCCAGCACTTGAGAAGGAGCGACATTTCGTACCAGAGAACTCAGGAGGGGCGTCCGGGATGTGGAGGGGCTATGGAAGAAGCCCTGCTGGGGGATGAGGTACTCATCGGCATCGACAACGTCTTCCATGTCCTCTTCGTCCATCAGGGCGCGGTAAAAGTTGGAGTCTGTAGGGCTTGGCAAATGCATCCTCTCATCTCCCTGGTGCAGAGATTTTGAGACAATTAGTAAGACCCAGAGAGGTGCTATGCCACTTTTTTGGCAGATGCCTCTTTGTCTGGCAGTTTGGTTATAATACAATCATCCTGGTTCCTTCCCTCCCCGACCTGACATTAAAACATTAAAAATGCTTGGATGTTTAAAAGCTCCTTAATGAAACAGAAACAGCTTAAGAGGAAGAAGAAAGGGATGAAGGAGCAGCATTTGTCGAGTGTGTATCATGCTGTTAGGTGCTGCGATCTTATAATTTATAGTAAGACATTTGTCCCTATTCCTGTCCCTATTCATAGACCTCTTAAACCCTAGGAATCTCCTAAGTGGTGAGAGTGGCAAAGATGTCTTCGTTATTTTGACGAGGGGCTTTAGGCCCACACTGAAGGATGGGGGATGGTGGTGGTGGGGGGAACCAACCAGAGACGAGGGGATTGGAACTTCCAGTCCCTCACCTCCCTGATGTCCTGGAATGGGGGCGGGACTGCAGGTGGTCAATCACCATTTCGCCACTAATTTAATCAATAACACACCTATTTAATGAAGGCTCCATAAAGCCCCACAAGGACTGGGTTCGGAGAGCTTCCGGGTTGGTGAACACATGGAGATTTGGGGAGAGCCACCTAGCTGGTGTCGGGGAATTGCTTGCTGGGAGGCACGTGGAAACCCCCTCTCCCCACCCCCCAACACACACGCGCCAGTCTTGCTAAGCAGAATCTTCAGGTGCCATGCAAATCATTTTGCATACATGATTTCCCTGACTGAATTAAAACAGCCCTGTGAGTTTGGTTTTCTTCACCGAAAGTGCTAAGCGGAGACTCAGGGATTTGGAGTGAGATTTGCTGCCACCAAAGCCCTGCTTCTCCATCTGATGGAGCAAAGGCTCTGGCTAGCCGAAATAGGAAGATGACACATGGAACTGAGTATGTCTGGATGCTAGAGTTCAGACGAGAATGGCAAATGGAGTCGGGGGGGGCCCTACAAATGAACACTTTAGGTCACAGTGTGGCCCGTGCCTTAACCAAGGCTTGCTCTAAGGCGCTGAGGATTTAAGGACAGGACCTGGGAGACAGGCACATCAAACTGGTACACAGTGGAACACAGGGGTACGGGCCGCTCATCAGAGGGACTTCTCCCAGTGGAAGCTCAGAGACTGTGATCTGGTACCTGGATGACAAGGTAGCGCTGGGGGTCTCGGGCCATTTTGGAGAATTCGATGATCAATTCACGGAATTTTGGGCGACTGTCTGCATCTATCATCCAGCCTGGGGAAGGAATGAGGAAAACAGTACAATTAGACCCTGAAAGAAATGATAAAGATGGCATTGCTTCCAGAGAGCATTTATGGTGAGATGCTTTTAGGCAAGGAAGTGATGCAGAAACCGAATCTTTGTGATAGGCTCTTTAGTCTTGGCAAACTAGCGCTGATCGCTGATTGCTGATCACAGTTTAAAGACCATGAAGACATAAAACGCTTGAATCAGAATGACAGCACCGTCCTCTGATTTTCTATGCCTACCCTTCCTGGGGCCAGAGTTCTGGTATTACCACCTTAAGCGATCCAGCAGCCTTGGATACATTGCTCTTTGTGAACTGCTAAGACTGTAGGGAGCCCCGGCGTCCGGGCTCTCTGGCCAAGTCCTCACTGGACATCTACTTTCATCTATATTCGCTTAGCAGTCTTGCAAGCTGAAAACTAGATTCAATTTAGGGAAAGTTAGGGACTTTCTTTAAGAGCCTCGGGGTTTGGGCACTCCACACCCGGATGCTTTCATTGTCTTACATCCTCAGTCACCAAGCACGCAAGTGAAGGGGGTGTTCCAGGGCCTTCCCTAGGACACTGGTGAGCCTCGCCAGCCCATTTGATTACACAATGATCTAAACCTGGATTAAACAAGCTGGAGGAACAGCGATCAGCTGGAAATCCTTGTCTCTCTTGAGGGTTCATATTTATTTTTTATCGGCAGGCTGTCAAGTTATTTTAGGACAGACTGCTATGCTATGTGACCTCAGACGAATCATGTAACTTCTCTGGATCCCAGCTTCCTCAGTCCAAAGCAAGGAAGTTAAAGTAGGTTAACTCTGTGGTCTAAAGTTCAGAAAGGCATTAGTATTTACATCAACTTGGCCCCGTCCTATTCCCTGTGCTACCTTCTTGTGTAAGTGCTCATCACACGTGGAATGTTATCTTCAGAGCCTGCTGAACTTGTGCTTCTGATGGAATGATAGCATTGACCAAGTTACACACTCTTATTTAGATTAAAATGTTTACTTGCTACGCTGCAAAAGACCTCACGTAGATCTACCATTTGAAAGGCTTAAGTCAAGGCAGAAATGTTGATTCTATCAGCCTCATGTGCTTACTCATTGTTAGGCATTTAAAAACATTTGGTCTCTCTGGTAACAGGCTTCAGAACGTGCAGCGCCATTTTCATCGAGCAACTTAGGGAAGAGAGTATTTTGGTGTAATGGTTTCTGGAGGAATTTGATTTTATTTATTTGCTTGCAAACATGGGCACATGCCAGGTCACCGTGCTCAACGGGTCAAGCAAACGCTTCCTGAAGAATGTCGGGAGAGGGTATTTACAGACGTTTCTGGACTTCGGTGCCTGCTGTAAAGAACGTGACAACGTTTTTTTTTTTCCGGGAATCAAAGCTCTCAATCTTTTGGCTAAGGGCTGGAACACCTTTCTAGGCCCAACAAGGCACTCTGAGTGCCAACACCTGGGAAAGCCAGCGTGGATGGCCACGGCAGTCACTCACACTTGACCATGATCATGTAGACATCGATGGTGCATATGGGCGGCTGTGGGAGGCGCTCTCCTTTCTCCAGGATGGTTGAGATCTCACTTGCGGGGATACCGTCATAAGGCTTGGACCCAAAGGTCATCAACTCCCAAACGGTGACTCCTGAGAGGATGAAGTAGTTGCTTTATGAGTTGATAATAGTCATGACACCTTGTCTTTAGTCATCATTTAAATGTTTCTAATCTTTAAAAATCTACGTTTCTGTGGCTTTGGGCAACTTGCTTGACGGCCAGAAGCCTCAGTGTACCTTTCTGTAAAGTGGGATAATGACAGTATCTGTCTTATGGGATAGTTGTGCAGATCAAATAAGATAACGCAACCGAACTGTTCAGACAACGCCAGACAAATAGTAAGTGGCCAACAAATGGCAAAACTTTTAGTAATAGCAACAAAGACAACGCAACCGTTACCATGACATAAGGAGCAGGAGTTCCACACTCAGACATCTGCCCTAAGCGACTTGTGCGTATGGAAGATAGAGACCGCAGACAAGCTTATACACTGCACATTTTTAAATAATAATAAAAACTGGAAACCAAAAAGCCCTACGTTCTTTTTAATAAACATAAAAACCCCAAATCTTTTACTTCAAAAATCAATCATCATGATTAAAAAAAAAAAAAAAATCAAAGCAGTAGTTTTAGAACTGGTGTTTGTCCAGGCCATCCCTGGGTTCTGATGATCCTTCCATCTCCGTGCCTCCCTTGATGGGATTCTCTGCTCTAGAAACCTGCACAGGGAAGGTGCACTGGGGTGACTCCAGTGGGATTGAGCCTAGGTCCCCAGACCACATAGGGAGGGAGCAGACACAGGATCCTGGCGGTTTCCTGATCTTCAGCTGGTCTGATGATCCATTTTCTTTAGAGTTGACCACTAGATACATATTCCCACAGGTCTGCTTGGATTAACCAGGGGCCATCCCAGAACCAAATGACCTGAATACAGAGCATGCAAGATTGAAAAATGAAGCAAAGTAATGGTCCAAGGGCAAGAAAATAGATTCTTCTGTCCTTCCTCACCAGTGTCAGTATGGACTTGATGAAAAAATAAAATCTCATTTCCAGATCCATGAAGTCAATTCATTCCCATCTAACTAGGTTCAAACATTATGTATAAACATGCACAATGAGTTCCTGCGGGAAGGCAAACTTTTTAGGTTTCGGAACAAATGCTAAAAGAGAAAGTAGTATGCATACCTGGTTGTGGCTTTTGAGAGAGCCTGGAACGTGGTATGAATTCTCTCTCTTTCCAACTCCTAAGTGGAATGCATACGTTCCTAATTTATTAAAATATTTTGTCTTGAAACTAGAGAGCGGAATAATAGGATTTGTTTTTTAAAGATTTTTATTTATTTAAGAGAGAGAGAGAGAGAGCATGCACAAGCGAGCAGGGGGAGGGGCAGAGGGAGAGAGAAACTCTCAGCTGACTCTGCGCTGATCGCGGAGCCCGACGCAGGGCTCGATCTCACAACCCTGAGATCACGACCTGAGCTGAAATCAAGAGTCGGGCACTTTAACTGACTGAGCCACCCAGGTGCCGCAACAGGATTTGTTTTTTAAACTAGAACGTCAGCTTTGTGGTTTAACAATTCCAATTACTGCCAGGGACGGCGGGTTATAATCACTGACAACACAATTTCCACTGAAATGAAAAACACACGACCACTATGGTGATGCTGACTTTCTGGTACTGCTTGTAATCATCCAAAGGCATTAAGTCACAGAATCTAAGAGAGTTTTCATTTATTCAACAGATGTGGGCCAACTCCGGACAGATGACGAGTTGGCCTGCGCCGGCTGCCACACGGAGGGCAAGGAGGGAAATGCAGCCACTTGATTCTGGAAAAGTAGGCAGAGCCAGACCAGTGAGGAGCTCAGGTTTTGTTTGGAACATACAAGGAAAACCAAAGAAGGCTATTAAGCAGAGAATTAAAAGTCTGCTATGGTTTAAAAGTATTTTTTTTTGTCTGTTGTCTGGAGAATAGACGAACGTGGGCAGAACAGGGAGAGAGAGGACCCATCAGGAACCTGAGGGAAGGAGGCGACCACGGAGATGCCTCTGGATGGGACTCAGGAGTGGGAAAAGAAGCATTTCTTCCCATCCCTCTTGGAGAGGAGACATATCTTGGAAAATAACTAAAATAACAAGGCATCAGAATAGCTTTATTTCCTTATCTAGTTCATTAATCGCAGGCAGCTCAGCTCACAGGTACGTGAAAAAAATTCACTTATTCACTCAGAAAGATCTCTGTCTTTGTAAAGCCTGCATCCTAGCAGAAGAGACAGAGATCCCCGAAACTAAAATACATTTACAATATTAGGAAGTTAATAATGCTATGAAAAAAGCCTTAAGTGGATGATAGCCTGAATGATTTGTTTTTGTGATAATAACCAAATTCCTCTTGAACATTTGTGTTGATCTCGCTCTCCCCAGATAACCATTTCCTTGGAGATGGGGTGGCCCCCCCACCCCCGTTGCTTTAGCAGTGGGAACAGACTGATAATTCACAGAGAAATGTATCAGGTAAGCTATTCTGCAGGCTTCCAGCAGATTGCTGGGCTCGTGAGGACCGACTGTGAACAGGTGTAAACATGGCAGCCTGTGAGAATGTGTTAGTGACACTTTCTTAAATGGCGAGGCCCTTGTAGGCTCAAGCCGTCCTTTGCGCAAAGGCAATGAGGCAAGAATGGGAAAGCGTGTTGGAGAGGAGGGGTACGGGCCTGTGCAGGGCCACAGTGGGGTTTGGAGGGGGAAACAGAGAATCAGTCCTGATGAGATGTCCTCACTAGAGCTCCCAGCAATAACTATTTCCCCTGCTTCTTCTTCCCCGCCCCCCCCCACAGACACATACTCACAGCGCCCTCTTGTCAAGCCATTCTCTCTGATACACAAAGACTACCCATTCACTGCATGAAACAATGGCCACCGAGCTAGTCCATCACAAAACCTCACGTCTCTACCCAGAAAACCCCATTTGTCACCTCCCTTTGGTTGACTTCAAATCCATGGCAAGAGGTCAAGTCTGGTTTGATGTTGCAGGTCCAGGCACTTCCTAAGTCCGAGCTCTCTTTCCCTCCGTCACCCCCTGCTTGACAAGTTCACCAGTATCTCCAGTGACATGTAATATGCTAGTCAGATTCCATTTCCTTTGCCATGTTTTCTTAGCAGGATAGACAGCAACTACTACGCTATAATTAGTCACTGTCTTAGAAGAAAGTATTTGGATGACAGAGCGTAGAACATAAATCAACAAACTATACAAGCGGGCTTCGGCTCAGTACGCATTCATTAGCATCGCGATTTTGACTCACCATAGCTCCACACATCACTTTGGTGGGTATAAATTCGGTGTAAAATTGATTCCAAAGCCATCCACTTGATAGGCACCTTGGAATGATGAGAGAGGAAGTAATAAGATAACCATTAGCTTCCCTCTGGTGCAAAAAATTAAATCACATTGAAACAGACTACAAGTGACAAACGTGGGAAACCCAGGCCACCCCACCCTGATACCCTAGGACTAGTGCTCCCTCCCAGCAGGAGGAGCAAGTTTTAAAAATCTGGTAGAAAAGAGGGCTATTCTTTTCGGCCCCAGGTGTGGTTTCATGAAGGCCTCGGCTGAGGAGCTTTGGTCTGTGGGCGGTTCTGGTGAACTGGATGCACATGCTGGGGGCTGGGGGTCCTGGTGGTGGTCCTAGCCACCCCATGTTTATGGGAGTTTGGCTGCTTGGCCGGCTACTTGGAGCCATCCAGGTCAGAGAGAAGCTTAAGAGGGGTACAGCCGATTCAGAGCTACTGGAGGGCCTAAAAGGGGACTTGCACCCCCCCCAAGTGCTGGGAGAGTCCCCCGGAGGACCCCCAAGTCCGTCTGGGAGGAGGGAGCCAACCCTCCAAGAGTCACAGAGACCCTCGGGTGCTCTAGGAAAGGCACGGGGAGTTTTCCATATTTCTGAGATATTCTCAATAGCTGTGACATTTCCCAGCTGCCCTTCTGAAGCGGGGAGGTTGAGACCTAACCTTGGCTAATGGTCACCCGAAGATGGAGCTGAGCTCGTGTTTATTGGCTTTGGCCTCTGGACACGACAGAAACATCTATTCTCACTCTCCCAGCAAATCCTGCTCTCAAAGCAGCTCCTCTGGTCTGTACTTCCAGAAGAAGACCCTGGCTAGACCCAGGCGTCAGTGGCAGTCGCTGCGCCCTCACCCAGAACGTTCTGAGAACGTCCCCTACATCGGTCAGTCTGCTGGTGAGAAAACGCTCGCCGATCTACCAGCCAGCCTCTTACTTTGCCTCCTTCTGCGTGGTATTCTTTCTCCTCGGCTCCAAGGAGTTTGGCCAGCCCAAAATCTGTGATCTTGACATGCTGTGGTGTCTTCACCAGGACATTTCTGGCTGCCAGGTCGCGGTGCACCAAGCGCCGGTCTTCCAGGTAGTTCATGCCCTGAAACATGGGGCCATGCAGTGAGGGAAAGCACTGCTTAGCAGACTGCCCTGGAGAGCACAGACTGGGGTTCAAGCAGAGATGGCAAGGCGCCTGCGCACAAAGCTCTGATGTCATGTTCACACTGGACTCGGAGCTTTCCACGTCAGGGACTGCGTTTGCCCCCGTCTGGGTGCCTCCCCTGATGGACACAGTCACTTGCGCCCTGTAAACACTAGTAACTATCAACTGAATCGATGAAAAGACAAATTAATGAAGGTATAATGAGCTGCTGACTTGCTAACTTTTCTCCATCTAGTGACTCCAGTTTTAAACCCAGATGAACCAAGTATCCGAGGGCAGTGACAGAGCAAGCTGAGACCTGGCTGGAAGCTTGTCTGGAACTTGGCAACCGTGCCACCTGCCTGGGGTCACCTTCCCTGAGCGTAGCTGACCTGTAAAGCAGGGAAGGTAAATGCTTCTCAGTGCTGTGAAGCCACACTCCCCCAACGCTTTTGCAGACTACCTGCCGTGATCTGCTATCGATGGACGAGGTTTTTTTTTTTTTTTTTTCTTTCCAGTTTGATCTCCTCATTTTTAAAAAATGAAGTCACATGGACATTGGATTTGCTTTGACAAGGTGGCACTTCCCACCCACCCCCTTTGGTCGCCTCCCTAACTCTGTGGCGATCAGAATCATCACTACTGAGAGAGAGAAGGAAAAGAATATTTGAGAAGCACCTAGCACAGTGCCTGACACGTGAATTCCCGAAAATATTCCCTCTCAAGTCCAGCCCTTGCCCACAGCTTTCTTGCCGAATGTCACGAGCACTTGCAGCCTCTACTTTTCCTTGCTCCGTGCCTGCCCAGCTCAGCCAAGCTCCCTGGGACCCTACCAAGCTCCAACCTGGTGACATGAGCTTGGCAGCTCAACCTCTACGCGGGGCCAGACTGGCAGGCGGGAGACGCTGTTAAGTTCTGCAGACATCTCACGTTGTTTGTACCACATTCTCTCCCACTTGCTCACGAATGTGCCTCTCCCTCTCCAGCCAGGGGAGTGGACCACGTTTCCAACCTCCTTTACAGCTGACACTCAAGAGCTCTCCAGCAAAGACAGGGACAGAAATGCTTACTGAAGTGCATGAAATGCAAACAACTGGGCTTCAGCCACGCGGCTTTAGTGTCTGGCTTTCTTGTAGCTGCAGTGGGATCTCCATGTGAGGGCACCTGCAGGGAGAACCTGCCGCTAAGGATGGATTCCCCAATTTTCTGGCAAATTCTGTGCTTCCTTTTGCATAGACAGTAGGTGAAAATTATTCGGGAAGTGAAATTAAAAATTTTTCTTTCTGGAGCAGAACTAACCATTGTAGGAATCTTGGATCTTAGGAAGATGCTACCAGGAATTAGCCTCTGAGGGCTATTTTTGAGGCCTTTCTTTGGAAAAAAAGATGATTAACTCCCATGTCTCCTTTCTCCCTGGTGTTTTCTAGAAAGTTCCTGAATGTTTAAGATGCTGTGTGATTTAAGTGTTCCCCACCTAAGATTCCTCAGATGCAGCAAAATAAGGTTAACGGGGCTCATGCCTATTCAAGAGGGAACTAGCGGGTTCTCTCTGGCACGGCACTTCCAAATTAGGGATTATTATTTAGGAACGGCATGCGGGGAGCGAGAGGGAAGGAGCAGAAGCCGAGAAAACTCCTCCAAACAGAGGACTGACTTACTACTCCCTGTCCCCTCTCCCCACGACCCCGTCACAGTATGCTCCATTCATCAGCTTCCATCTCTCCTGTGGTTCCTGGGACGCTGCTCAGGCCTCCTGTGTCTTATAAAAGAGCAAGGCCTCTATTTATTAAACATGGTGTACTCTTACCCATTCAAAAAGGGTTAATTGGGCTTGGCCTCTTGCCTGGTTAGGCGCAACATCTGCATTCCAGGCTGTATTAGCTCACTTGCTCTCTCTCTCTCTCTCACCCACGTTTTCTCTGTTTCCTTCCACCCTGTGTCACTGACCCTGCTTCCTCGGATATTTCCCGAAGACTTCCTCGGTGGTAGGTGCTGAGTCACTGTGGCATGGCCGTATCGGAATAATCGCACGTCAGTGCCGGACACACAGGAACCAGTCCATCTTGCTCTGTCCCTTCTGCTTTATTTCAAATTTGTGTTTTCTGAGTTCCTTAGACCCACAAGGGGTGGCGGTGGGGGGGGACTTCAGAGGGAATTTCCAGCTTCACTTAACTACCGTCTCAAACTTTTCATTCTGCCTCTTTAAATGCCCCCACAGTCTGTACACTGGACATGTTTTTCACAAAAGTTCGTTGAAAAATGAACGGATGAGGGGTGCTTGGGTGGCTCAGGCGTTAAGCGTCTGCCTTCGGCTCAGGTCATGATCCCAGGGTCCTGGGATCGAGCCCCACATCGGGCTCCCTGCTCCGCGGGAGGCCTGCTTCTCCCTCTCCCACTCCCCCTGCTTGTGTTCCCTCTCTCGCTGTGTCTCTCTCTTTCTCTGTCAAATAAATAAATAAAATCTTTAAAAAAAAATGAACAGATGAAAGAATGAAGGAGTGATATAGCGGCTGACAGTTTTGAGCACTGATGATGTGCCGGGTGTTTCCAACACATCTTCCAAGAAGCCTCCTCTGGGGCCAGAGTGCCAGTGCCCCACAGGACCACACTGAGAGCCGCCTCAGCGGGTCCAGAGGCCGGTCAGACCTAGTGCTCTGAGTCCCTGAGACCACCAGTGGGACCTAGTCCTAATTTCCTGCTGGGGCCTCCACGTGAAACTCGCCCGGCTGGCCCAGAGGCTGCTTGAGATGTCAAAGAAACTCCAAATAAACAAAAAACCCCAGCCGTCCAGCCCCTTGGCTCTGTGCCACGGGGTAAGTCCACGTTGTTGGGATAAACCTAATAAATTGACCCGGGCCCCGCCTCCGCCCCCCCGGGGTCTGTAAAGGACCAGGACAACTTTAATAAATGGTGACGTTTCCTGAGACTATCCGTCCTCAGGGAAGGCTTGGGAAAGAGCCATTTACGTCTTCTGGGGCGCACAGCTAATCAGCCAGAGGGGTTTAAATCAGAGAGGATTTGGGGGCGGCCAGATTCAGCTCATTTGAACTCAGATAAAACTCTATTCGTCAGTCTCTGTCCCACACCATAGAGGCAGTTTAAAGGGCCATCACATGCCCGGCAAAGTTATATTTTAACCAGTCAGCAAAGATAAGAGCCCTGATCAGAGCCCATCTAAACAGACACCACAGGAAGCATATCAGCCTGGGCCTTAGTGGGGCCTCTCGGGAAGCTCATTTCCGGATTCCTCTCCAAGATCCTCACTTTAATTTAATCAACATCTTTATTTTTGTTAATTACTACAGGACAGCTAGGACGAATTCTGAAACACCAAGGTCAGTAGGGAATTCGAAGAGCCAGCCTGGAACCTCAAAGCCCAAAGGGGAAGCACAGGGATACGCCTCACACGGCTATTAAGGATTTTTCTGGCACGACACCTACGGAAGAAAGGACTGGGGGTGGTTGGGTTTGACATTTATAGACTCTGTTTTCCGGAGGGCTGCAGCATCCTACGACTCCCGGGAGGAGTCCAGACTGACAGGCTGCCGCGGGGTCCATTTCTGTTCCGTTTCATAAACCGCCACGGGGAGAAGTCCCAAGCAGGCAGTGGAGAATACAGTAGATGGTTCTGGCAGAGTTACGTCAAGTGTATGGCCCACCCACCACGGAGCCCCTCCCCTCAGGAGAGGTAGAAAAGTGTCAGAGTTTCCGATCCCAGACAGAGCTCGTGGGGTGGCAACAACACGGTACTGTGATGGGGACGGGGGGACGGCCAGGCTCACTGGCCTGTGGGTTCTGCCCCGAGCCATGACAGCAAGTGCTGGTCAAGAGCACGGACCTGGGAGCCAGGCTGCGTGGGGTCCAATCCTGATTTTGCTACTTACTAGCTCACGACTTTGGCAAGTTACTTAAGCACCCCCGTGCCTCAGTTTCCCGGTATGTAAAGTGGGCTAATCAGATGGTTAACTGAGTTAAGCCATGCAGAACAGAGGATGGTGCCCAGCGAGAGTCCTCTGCAGGGGCCGGTGAGTGTCATGGTTTCCTCCTCAATGCCAAGTCCTCCCCCGCTTCTCCATCCATTTGCTGTGAGTTTGAATTAGGTCACTGTCATAGCTTGCTTACATTATAACTTCCCAAAGAGTCTGATCACGCATAGACTCCTGAGGCGCACCCTCTGCTTTTGAGATGAAGCTGTCTCCTTGTGTGGGCATGCAGGGCCCCGCAGGGTCTCTGCTCGTCCTCCCCAGCTCGGCACTGCTGCCCGTCCCTCCCCTCAGCATCTCTCAGCCACCGAGCCACTCTGCATTCTCACCACTGTGCAATGGTCATGTCTCAGTCGGTACACCACCGGGACGGAGGCGGGCCTCTCACATCTCCAGCACACAACTCTTGAGGCTAAGAGACAGGCTGCCTTGCCTGCCTACCTCCTCCGCCCCGCCACTGTCTTCCCAGCACCTGGCGCCCGGCTGACAGTCCGAGCCCCCCTCGCTGGTCCCCACATGCCCTTCATAGCAGCCTGTGGGACTGTGGTCCTCCACGCACCCAGCTCTCTCCTGCTCTGACCACTCTTTCCCTGTAGCACAGCATTCTAGCTCTGTATGGATCTGTTTCCCTCACTGGTCTGTAAGTTGGGGAGAAAAGAAATTTTGTCTTATTTATATATCTACTGCACACGATTCCTAACGCTGGCAGATAAATGCCTAAGCAATCGTTAAGGGAAATATTTAAAAAGTTGATATTTTGATACTTTGATTTTTTTTTTTTTTTTTTAGAGGGAGAGTGAGAGAGAGAGAAATAGAGGCAGAGAGAGCACAAGCGGAGTGGGGGCAGAGGGAGAGGGAGAAGCAGACTCCCCCACTGAGCAGGGAGCCCGACATGGGGCTCGATCCTAGGAGATCATGACCTGAGCCGAAGGCAGATACTTAACCATCTGAGCCACCCAGGTGCCCCCATACTTT